CATGTAGAAAATCGGCAGATGTAAATTTTATTGACGTAATAATCAATACAAGGTTAGGAAACTTCTGCTGTAATCCAATGACAAACATCCAAGAGCAGCCCCATCTGATGTTAGCATGTACGGCATATACAGGCTGCAGCGTGCTGCACTGCGTTATCAATTACTACGCGTCACTATCCCCAGCCTGGGGCGCAAAAGTCAAAATTGCAGTATTTCTGAAGAGTTGACATGCATCGATGCTGACATTTAAAGCAGTGGCATATCCTGATGAGTTGATGCACTACGACCAGCAATGACGAACATCAAGACATTGATATGTGCAAGAAATAATCATTTTCGTTCATGAATAAAATAAATCATAATAGTAATGTAGTAGTGATGAACGTGTTTCGCATTCAAAATAAAGAATACAAATAGACAAAATGAATCTTTGTCATACATTCCTACTTAACATTCACACTCACCATTTTCCCCTGGACTGAACCGGCTACACTTACCTCAACTGCACTGCCATCATGGACTTTTACACTACTGCACTTTTCATCTAAGCATATCATTGCACTACTGTACATTCTGTATATACTGTCAAAACCTGTTCATTGCCTGTACCTACCTGTTTCAATAGACATTCATGTAGACATATTTATCTATCATTCATACCTTGCACTTTGTATAATAATGTATCAAATTCTATTTAATTACTGCTTAAGCACTTCTGGTTAGATGCTATCTGCATTTCGTTGCTTTGTACGGGTGACATGCGCAATGACAAAGTTGAATCTAATCTAATACACATCAGTCAGAATGAGCTTTTGCTGCTGTGTGATAGAAACATAATGCACAAATTAATTCAGATCATCAAGTGCTTTAATCAGTACTCAGCACAGGCCAATCTACCTTATCAAGAACTAGATGATGGACTATAGTATAGTTTGCATGTGTCCATACATACAGTGTTGTGTGAGTGCATCTCACTGGCTAAAGTGTAAAATGTCAGCGAGAGCAGGGCCCCTATGCAGAGCAGCACATATGATTTCTGAGCAAAATAAAAGAGATCACTGTAGAACCAGTTACAGGATCTCTGAAGCAAGGGGTGAGGAGGGAGGAATCTTTTGTGGTGGTACTGGGCTCCATGGTATCTGGAGGGGGGCGTGGGCAGCATGTTGGTAAGCTGATGCTGAGAGGGAAAAGGTGGCAGCACTGCCACTGTAAGAGAGCCACTCCTACTACAACACACAAGCAAGTCAACAATATGACCCTGTGTGTGTGTGTGTGTGTTTTATGATTTACATCCACAGGGCTGGGGACCAGCTGAGAAGTAAAACTTGAGTAGCCAACGGATAAACACACTTCTAAATACTAACTCATAGTAATAAGAGAGAGTTAGGCCTTGCATTAAAAAACTAGATGACCTGACAGCCGCAATGTGAACAGCTTAATTACAACGTCCATGTTACAAAGTGATCTACCACGAAAGTGCACACATATTTGATTAATTAAAATTAACAGCACTACCATCATTAACACACGCCACCTATGGGGATGTGAAATCAAAGACAAAATTAATAAGTATTTCCCCTTAAAAAATTGCAGAGCCACTTCCTGGTTCAACTAACCAACTAAAGAGTATTTAATCTACATGCATGTGTTCTTCTGACATCTCTGTAGATATCAGATGTACAGAGTTGACGTGATTAGTTTACTAAATCGACAAATAATGAATCAGCAACTATACATACATACACACATACTGCACTTCCAGTACATATAAACTGAGCCAAACTACCCTAGTTCTTCAAATGTGAGGATTTGCTGTTTTTCTTTGTCTTATGTGATGGTCAACTCAATCTCTTTATGCTTTCGACTGTTGGTCAAACAAAACAAGACATGTGAAGTTATCTTGAGCGTTAGGAAATTGTAGAAGTCATTTTCACTGGTGGGAAAGTAATCAGCAGACCAATCAATAATGAAAATAATTGTTATTAGTTATTTGCAGCCAAGAGTTATAAAATGCCGAAGTGTGACATGTCAATATCTTTTCTTTTTTTTTTTAAGCCGATAATTTGCTGATGATTGGATGCTAATTAGCTCTTTAGGTTGTATTTTTCAGAATGTGATTTACAAATTCAGATGAACTCTCATGACATTACAGTTCAGGCCTAGAATGAGATTATACAGAAAATGCCTGCAGTCTGCAAATTGATATACAATACTGGGCTTTAAAAAAAAAAGTCACAAGGCATATTAGCAGAGCAGTGGAGACAGCTACAGAGAGAAAAAGACTGAGCAAGACTGGATGAGAGATGGTGAGGGAGGAAAGAAACCACAGTGAGATAGAGACCTAAAGCGCTCAGGAAGCCTGTCACATGGGGCTCGAAGCCGCATGGCTCAGCACTCTCCCTCTCTGTGTTCTGTCCGTTGCTGACATTTATCTGCTTTATTAGATTATCTGGGCTACATGGCTGTCTCCGGGCACATACAGGCGCACACACACACACACCTCTCGATTCATTACAGCCCCAACTGCTTACTTAGGTTTATACCCTCTTTAAATTAATCCAGCGACATCCGAGCAGCTCAGAAAACACCCACCCTTAACACGCAGAGAGGCTAAAGCTGGCCATTGAGGAGGAAATTAAGACACATTGTTTGTGAGTGTATTATCACGCATGTGCGAGTGGTCATAAGGTTGTTTTTTAACGGGCTCATCTATAGGGACTCTTCCCATCATTAGTAATTCAATTTGCTCTTTATTAGCAGCTCTTATCGGAGGCACAGACGGCTACGAGCAGCCTTCCTCACTCCATCTTCCTCTGCGCTCACCCCTGCCCCACCTTTCCTGTGTCTCGGAATCTGAATCCCCACCTTTAATTTGAGATGCATGCGTTACTGCTGTAGGCCACTCAGGCTGTCCACATGGCATAAGGTACATGAAGTAATGATGAAGATGAAGTGGGAAAGGATGGAGATGTGAGAAAGGAGGACACATAAAAGTTAAAGAATCAGAAAAACAGAAGCAGACTGATAGACGCAGAGCCATAGGGACGAATAAAGCCTAATGTTAATAGTGATGGCTTTTCTAATGTCTTCTGACTCCATTGAGTATGGGAGATTACACCAAGATGGGCATGAGGCGTGTAGGGTACACGCTGAATGACCGGAGGGTTGGAGGGGCAAGAGGAGGGAGGGGGCTGTAAAAACAATGATTGCTTTCCATCAGGTTAGCCCTATATTCTACAGTTCGTTAAAACAATCCAATTTGCAAAAGGATAATTATGCATTAGCTCCTTTTTATCTACTGGAGGGAGAGCGTTGCCAGGACTTGATAGCAGTGGCGCTGCCTGCCTCCACCTCTGCAAATTACCCGCTATCGGCACTTGTTCGCCATCACGGCTGAATTGGGCAATCAATTAACCTCCCCCCTTCTCCTCTTATAGTCTGCCTGTAAGCCTCTCTAGTGACAGCCAGCAACACAAAGCCCCTACAAGGACTACATGGATGCGAGCTGCTGCCCTCTGCTGGAGATAGTTGTAATAGCTGCAGGCAGAGCCACAACTGAAGGGCCAATTCCATACTACATACCAATTATAAGCACGTTTTCAGTATATCGTGTGTTCAACAATTCAACAATAAGAAATAAACTCAGAAGCAAATTAGATTTCACAGAAAATCTCTGAGCATGTTTAATTCGCAGGAAGTAAAACCATACTCAAGATGAAAGTATTGCTCAAAGTCTCTCTGATTGACCCAAAGATCTCTGATGGAATATCAACCACTAACTGCGTGTTTGAAATCTTGTGGTGACTTATATGACAAATAAAAAACAGTGAGACGTGGTGATGTTTTGGGGTGAGGCTGGAAGATATGAGAAGTGTTTCAGCAAAGAAATGTATCGTCAATCTAAAAAGCGGAAGAGCTTGGAAGAGGCTAATCTCCCATACAGCGATACTATGCCCTCTGAGGGTGACTTCTATACTGTATATGAAGAATTGATCAGTGAATCTGTTTTCTTTTGTTTATAAGGGCTAAATCGCACACAAACAGATTGTTTTAAATGAGCACAACACAGTACAAAACAAACTCTAGCCAGAGCTTATGTTTCTGGAGCATAAAGTAACAGAAGACAGGATCACTTTGATTGAATTTGTGCCATATTTACAAGATGTAAATAGCAGCATACAAAGGATAATTGAAAGCACTTTCATAATCTTGTGCAACTTCAGAAAGTAGAGACCTGCCAGTTTTGCAGAATCATCATTATCATCATTATCAGTAAAATTCTAAAGAATATTACTAATACTAATTACCAATCTGTTAATCACTAGACTAATTGTGACTCACTAGACTAATTGTGACTCATTTGGTCGCACGCTGGTGGAAATGTCACGAGATCCTGCAGGACTTGAGAACTGTACGGCGATGTAAGGTTTTTTGTGCTTGATGGACAGTTGGTAAGCTACTGGCTAGATCAACATTGTCATAGCGCCACCAAACGGATGCCGGGTACTCCACAAGGAATATTAAAAAGATCAAAAATAACGACATGGTTCCAGCGTTTCAAGACCACAGATACAAGACAGCTGTACCATAACCAGATTAGATATGTTCCGTCTTACCCGTGTAATCTTGTTTTCCCATGGCTCAGTATTTGGTTGACAGCTCACTGGACTAATTAGACAAGGTAAATTCATGACAGGAAAGCTGTGTAGAATAAATGCTCTTAATGAAATTGAAAGGAACAATACTTGAACTGCAGTATGTAGTAAGGACAGAAGTTTCAAGCAAAAACTGGGAAGTATTTGACTATTCTTCAAAGACAGCACACACGCACACAAAGACAAAGAATACCAGTAGTGACGTGTTGCTACCAGGCGCAAATAAAAGCCAAGGAAAAAATATTTTTATAGACAATAACAATAACATTTTTTATTTTTATTTTATGATTATTTGAAGATTCGAAAATCGTGACCCATCCCTAGTGTTAAGTGTGTGCTCCTTACTTGTCCTTGATAAGGTGGGGGACAGACGCCTCAATTTGTGTCGACCAAAAGACACAAGCTCCCTGGAGGGCGTCCTCCTAATTCCTGCGGGAGACCTGGTGGAGCCGTGGATCCGGTTCCACGGTGAGTACTTTACCGCTGATGGGCTGGTCCCTTTCTCTGACCCACCTCCACTGCGGTCACAAGAGAGAGAGAAGGGGGGGGGGTCAAATTCATGTACATACAAACATCAACCCGCCATAAAAGAAAGAACATAATGAGAGAAGTTCTCAGAGCAAATAACCTTGAAGTAAAACAGACCTACCGCATGCTTCCTTTACTTACCTACTAGCAGACTTCCTAATGATTTTCATCCTGCTGCGGAGCTTGAACCCACCAGGGGAGGAGGAGGGAGGAAGGGAGATCCGCTGGGTTACAGATGGGGAAGCAACAAAGCCTCCTCTCGCTCCTTTGGTGCTTTTTTCTGACGTCCAGTGGAAGGCAGACCTACGTCGGGCCGCCGTCGCCCCTCCTGTCACTGCTGCAGAGGTATTCTGACCTCCAGCCTTCCAGCGGTAATGACTACTCAGTGAGGAGTTGGTAGAGGAACCCGCAAATCCCCTTTTTATCTTAGCAGACGGAGAGCAGGCTGCTCTGGGTTTCTTGGTGGAATCTCCCTTCTCCAGAGCTCTCTGTGAAAAAGTCAGGGCTTTGGGCGACAGAGATTTTCGAGATATTCTAACTTGGGCTCCAGCAGACGAGGACACCCATGTGTACTTGGAGGTCTTAGGGGCAACAGTGACTGGGCTTAGCTTTCGAGGTAACTTCTTGGCAGGGGTTCTCTTACTGATTGAGAATAAGAGGGGGCTTCCACTGGCAGCTCCAGCTTTTGAGACTGACGGGGCAACGGTCGCAGCTTTGCCTGTGGGTGAGGACATGGAGCTACCTTGTCTAGGCTCCACTCCCCCCATGTTGTAGCTCTTCACCCAAGTGAACTTGGATTTTTTCGAAAAAGACGCGCTGACTTGGCCCTGGCTGGTGTGAGGTGTGGGGTTAATGGAAGGTTGCTTTGACACTTTCGACAGAGCAGAGAGAGGTGGTACGGTTTTACCAGTTGCGATTATAGCTGGAGTTGTCATCGTAATGGCTTGTTTAGGCTCAGTGCTGGTTTTACTTGTCAGGGCCGGTTTGCGCTGCACTCGAGGGCCTGAGGTGTTGGACTTGACTGAAGAAGGCGCTTCTGAAGAGCCACCAACTTGCTTTTCTGGCAGGACTACATGCCTGCTTTCAGCCCTCTGCTGGATCTGTCTGCGAAGCGTTTCACGTTGTATACTAGTGCCTGTTGAGCTTGACTCTCCTTTTTCATGTCCATGCTGAGACACAGCTGTCTCTGTCACCCCCCTAACCCCTGTGATGCTCTTTATATGTCCCTCACTCTTTTGTTGAGGGATCCCTGATGATGAAGTGGCAGTTGTGCCTCTATCTCTCTCATCTCCTCTGCAGTGGATGGGCAGTGAGGTGCTGTGAGATTTACTATAGGAGCTAGACTGATGAACAGCAGAGGGGGTAGAGGCTGAGGGATGTCCAGCAGAGGACAGGGGGTTCTTGTTTTTCAGTGAGTATGTTTTCCTCCAGCTTCCACGGCTTTGAGGAGCATATATTCTCCCTCTGGAGCTATGGGGACCGATGACAGACGTGCTGAGACCTCTGCCTCTGCCTGATGTTGGGGCTTCTGGACGCCTCTCCTCAACTCTTCCAAACGGGGTGTCGCCATGGATGCTCTTATGTTCATTGATTAGATCTGGTAATTCAAAAACAGGGAGTTATTTAGTTGTACAGTCACATTAGTTACTATGAAGATGAAATGCAATGCTTAAAACATAGAAAATAAAACATAAAACACTCAACAGGAACACCTTTTTTAGGATCAGTGTCCCCGTTTCTCTGTATAATCCACTCAGTATGCTGTCAACAGTTTGTTGTTGAAGAATAAAAAAAATATCTAATCGCGAATGATATTTTTTACATCATTATTCAGATGTTTTCTTCAGTCTCTATATTAACTTGTGGTGTGTAGGCCAGGATGTCTCTGCAGCACGGCAGCATTTAAAATCTCTTTAACAAATATTGCATCTCCTGCGATTTTCAAATCGCCGTATTGATGACAGGTAGAAACCAGAGTAAGACAGCAAAATTCATACACTTCCACAGAGGGCCCAGTGACTCACTGAAAGCGTTTATAAGAATAAAATAAATGAAATCGTACATTTTGAACTTCACAGTAAGAAAAACTCCACCTCCACACTCAAAGCCTAATGGTAGCAAATTAACTCACAGCTAATTTAATTAGCTTCCATCAGGTCGGAGCTTTTCAGAGGATGCATTAAAAGATAGAGGATGTATTCTAGCCTGTAGATGTAGGCTATCTATCCTTGTCTGTAGTTACTATTGTTTTGATTCATGCCATAACTTTTTATTTATCATTCTCTAAGCAAAACTGCCCCTCACAGACACTACTGTTCTACTCTACACCTATGGGACATGTTGCCTCCTTCATCATCATCATCATCAAATGAGGGAATATCTTTCGGGAAGGATGTTTTGTTGTTTGATATCCATGCAGAATTATATTATGAAGGCCAGTTAACGTTAAGTTGGTCTGAGCTGAAGGCAAAGCTAACGGTTAACGTTAGTTTAGGAAATCCTTAAAAACGCAGCCGCCACGTCCAAACGACAGCTCTCAGTTTAAAAAGGTACAACAATTAAACACCGCTTTCTAACCAAGCTGCTACCAAAGACAAATTTTATGTCAAACAAGGGAGCTTTACTTTGTAGAAGTTCAATTTGCCTCTTCAGCGCTTCTCTCTCCTCCATGTTTACGCTTGAATCCACGCGTCATCAAAGAGCGACTAAAATAGGCCCTTGGATGATGACGGTCGCCTCAGCTGTTTCAGCCCTCAGTCTTGTATCACAGGCCTTTTCCCAACTTCCTCGAAATAATAAGAACTTTCGTGCTTTATTTCGGGAAAAAGAAATTGTTTCTGTTCCAAATGTTACAGTTTACTGGAACCGATTTGTAAATGACACAGATACTTGATAGTAAACAAGGTGAAAGAAGTGTCGTTCAGAATAATTCACAGATATTACCCTGCTAATCATTACATGCTTACATTTAAAAGAGACATCAATACAAACTGTTCTTTTTGTGAAGACCACCCAGAAACTGCCAGAACATTTTGGCAAAACCTCAGCAGATTCATCATTGACCATATTTATAAAGACTTTGCCTTACTGTGGAAGAATGTTGTATTTTGCTTTTATGGAAGTCAAAGTAAAGAAAAGTTGTACTTCATCATACATTTATTAATTCTTTTGGCAAAATTTCACATTCATAAATGCAAATTCGGCGCTAAAAAAACTAATTTTATACTTTTTTTCCATGAAGTTGTCCATTATATTAATCTGATTTCTGGCTCTAACAACAGAAAGGCAGTTAAAACTGTCAACATATGGTCCTCTTTCTCTTTGTAATGACCTGTAGGCTTCCCCTGGCAAAACTGTATTGTATTCTGTCTGTTATGTGTTATATTTTGGTAAGTCACTTGTAATTTATATCCTTTTTTTTGCAATAAAGTTGACTTATTTAAAAAAAATCTTGTATCACAGGCCGAAGAGGCAATTTCCTTGATTTTATTTGACAGGAATAATGGGTAGGATTTTATGGAGACTCAAAGTGTTGTTAGCTATCAGAATCAGCTTAAATGACCATGTATGCGGACGCATACTAGGAATTTGACTTTGGATTGTACGTTACTTTGATGCAGACAAACAGGACAAGCGTAAACGAAAAGCTCAGCAAGGAGCAGACACAGTGTGCAGAACACACATACACTATAAACAACAACGTTTGAAGGCAGCAAGACAAAAGTTAAGTGAGGGCATAGTGCAAAGCATGATGGAATAAATATTTTTGTTTTATTCTGTACAATCTCAGATGGATATGATAGAGACACAATATATACAACATTAACAGTATTGAATGACAAAAGTGACAAATCTTAAATAATAAGAGACATATTAGTATACATAAGGCACTGTGAAATAAATCATCAATAACCAACATCTGCAGAAGCTTTCTAAATATAGCCAACACCTTCAAGACACTCTGTTTGGTTTTGGCATTTCCTTTAGTTATCAACTGAAAGTTTTACAGAGAGTGGATGTGAGTGTGAGCGGTTGTTTGTTGTTTGTTTGTGTGGCCCTGCGATGGACTGGCGACCTGTCCAGGGTGTACCCCGCCGTTCGCCCCAATGTAAGCTGGGATTGGCTCCAGCCCCGCCGTGACCCTGTACGCAGGATAAGCGGTTGACGACGGATGGAAGTTTTACAGAGAGTGTTTTGCTTGAATATGATGTGCTCAGTAGTAAAGTATCTTTCTGGAAACAGTCTCCTTTAAGCTAACACACAGCCATTTCTTTCAGCTCTTAAATAATTCCAGTGAAATGACAGTTGTCATTTCAGTTTGTAAATTATTCTGAGTAATTGGGGCAACTGTTTCTGAGAAGATAAATTCCTGTTGTGTTTCAGTAAATAGCCTACTGTATGTGTAACAAAGATTTTATTTTATTTTATTTTAAAAGGCTGTTGTAATAATGTCTGTTGTGATGCAAACTGTCTCAAAAAAGCTTATCAATGCAATTATAAACTGCAAAGATAGCAAATAGGGAGATTATCCAGATTTAACTGACTTGTTGGCTGCCTGTGTTGTTGTTTTTTTATTTTATTGCAAGAAAAGTAATATAGTGTATAAGGAACAGATGGAAGTATACAGAACAGTATACAAGTACAAAAGTCTTTTTGTCATTGGATTTAGATATTAAATGTATATGATACACAACCTCATGGAGGAAAAGTAAAAAAAATAGGTTTTTTACTGCTGAATTTACATTTATGAACGAGAGATTTTGCAATTCGAAGAAATTAATGTGTTAAAGTACTTATTTCTTATCTTTGAGTTTTATTAAAAAGCAATATACCACATTCTCCCACATCAATCTCTATCAATATTGGTCAATGATGATGAAGTTTTGCCAGAATAAATGCCTAAAGGGGCGCAGAACAAACAGAATTCTGGGTGGCGGTTGCCTGTAAGTCGGTGCTGAGGGGCTTAATTGTCCCAGTAAGCGGTCGACTGACTTCCTGTTGACTGTCAACTGATTTGAAAACAACAGCGTCACAAAAACATCCCTGTTCTTCGCTTCATAACATTAACAGCCTCGGTCGAAGAAGTACATCGTTGCCGATTAGCTGTTTTAACGTGGTTCACAAATTCGGACTGTCTTTTCCGTCGTGAGCGTGAAATGCCGGTGACGCTGCTCTGAAATGAAATGAAAGAGGAAGTGAAACTTAACGCAGCTGGTTTGGACATAACGTTAAACCCAAAAGAGCGAAGATAAAACAGAAAGCAAACTTTAAAGTTGCTTAACAAGTGAAGGTACCGCAAACTTTGTTACAGATATTTAAGGAAACAACTATTCCAGATAAAGTTGTTCCACTCATCTTGGCTAACTTGTGAATTTTGTTTGACGTTGTTCACTAACTGTGTGTTCAGTGTTGTTGTTAGCTTAGTTAGCGAGCTAGCTTGAGTTTATTGTTGTTGTTGCAGTAGCACCTGTGTGTATGACTTACTATAACTGTTTGTGTGTTTCTGTACAGTATCCTGCTACTACTCCTGGCCTCAGCAACATGACGTCGACAAAATACCTGTACTTCATCATAACAAGAAAACTTGAAGCCCCACGACACATCAATGCTGGCTGCATCTGTTACATCAGTGAAAGCAATCACAGATCAGAACTCAGCAAAAATCAATCTCTCAAAAAGTTGCGCGTCTTCACCATGAGCAGATATACATTAGATTATGCGATTGAGGTGAGTAGCATGGAAGAGCTGAGTCCAGAGGAAGCAGAGCTGCTGCAGGCCCTGCCTGATGATGCAGAGAGGCTGAAATGGTTCAAAGAGAGAGAAGCTCTTAAAACAGCCCTAGGACTCAAAGTTGGATCTGCAGTGACTGTGGAAGAAGGAGGAGAGAAGCTTAGAGGCATCGTTCGCTACGTTGGAAGAATAACAGACCCTTCGTATCCCTGTCCCTTATCAGGAACGTACTTTGGCATTGAACTGCAGGTGGGACTTTAAAATGCTTCTGGTATCTTTTTGGTTTCATTTGTCCAGGTTTTGAGATACGCACCTCTGATATTTCTGCCTCCACCTCAACACAATGGAGGCGACTAAATTGAACTTGTGGTGTTCCCAGAACTGAACACACAAAAAGGTGTTTAGTGCCGTTAACTATGTTTCAAAAGTGTTTATTTACGTGTGATTATTTTAGATCTAGTCCTTCCGACTTTATCCTAATGCAGTATATTAACAATTTCTTTTGCATTCTATTTTTTGCACGCAAACTGTCTGCATTACTCGTAGTGTATAATCCTTACGTGCGTGTTGCGAACAGTTTTCATTGGATATATTTTCTTATTGCAATGCATTTTTGAACTGATATCTCAAGTCGTCAGGAAATGAAACTCAGTTCTGGCTGATATATGGGTCAATAATAGCTTATCAGAAATATAAGTAACAATAAGCTGCAGTACGGACAGACCAAAGAAAGATACAGTATGTTTGAGGTAATTTAGAAACACTTAATGCAAAGTTTGTCACCTTTAAAATGTCCAACTCATTACATAAGTTGTCCATAACACTATAGCTTTATATTTATACTTTTAGTGTATACTGGAGCTGCCCTTACAAAGTAGTAGGTACTTTTGCATGTAGTATGCCTAGAATTAGATCATACTACTTTGTCACAACATTAAGCCCTGAACTTGACCCTCATATTCAATTCAATTAACTTTTATTTATATAGCACCAAATCACAACAACAGTTACCTCACAGCGCTTTTCATAAAAGAGCAGGTCTAGACCGTACTCATGCTGCGCAGAGAATTGTGGGTCAGAATATATAGAAAAGCCTGCTGGCATGCCCATACTGCAAAATACGACCAAAGGCAGAAGGACACCCTGGTTTTTTTGCCATACTATGTAATGGGACACACTAAATCCTTTTCTGGCATAATAAATAGTATGTTAGTATCTGAATTGGAACGCACCATATATCATGTGCTTAAATTTGAAAAGACTAAGCCTTTAGTTAAATGCTTTTTTAACACTGACAATGATTAATTCTGGGGTATGCTGCTGTGCTTCTGTCCCCACAGGATACAGACAAGGGGAAGGGGACTACTGATGGATCCTACCATTATAAAACCCTCTTCTCATGTTCGAAAGATTGTGGCATTTTTGCCCCGTTCTCCAGAGTCAGGCCTGTACTTCCCAGCTCCTTGTCACCCTCCATCCCTGAGCTCTCTCCACATGTAGAAATGGATAAGCTAATCCCAGGGGACAGAGTCACTTACTTCCCGGGTGAAAAGTGTCGCCATGGAATGGTGGTGGATGTGCAGGAAAAGGATGGACAACATTTTGTTCGTATCTCCACGGTAAGTGAAATTTCATTTTTTTGTTTAAATGACCCAAAAAATCCAAAAGGGGAAAAAAATACAGCCACAAATCAGCTCCAGTAAAGTTAAATATGGTGTTTTGCTCCTTTTAAATTATGTTTTAAAATGCAATAATGTCTTCCCTCCTAATTTAGTCATGCAAACAAATTCTATTGCCCTGTTACAAATGTAGTATGTGACCCATTGTGTTTGCAATGATTTTATCATTTTTATAATCATAAATCACTTTAAAAGGTCTTAAACGTCAAGCAGCAACAAGCAGTTGAAACAACCTCTTCTGTGACTTTGTGTTGTGACAGACTTTGTTTTTCTTAGTTGGTCACATGATCACTGTACCTGTTAAGTAGCTGTTCTGGCAACCTGTGTCTGCTCTGTATATATTTATATTCATTGTCTATTTTCTTTATTTTTAAACTCAAAGCCATCAAACGCCATGCTCTCATAGTTTGTAAGCCCCTGCTAATGCTTGAGTTCTCTGATACAACCAAACCTTCAGATTTTAAATTAATTTTTTCACCTCCTTTGGTACACAAAGTGAGTAGTTTAAAGTACATTTATAATTTTTCTTTGCTGCTGTTTTCAGGACACAGATGAGAATGGAAAGAGAGGGGGTGAAGTTGAAGTCCCACTACAGTTGGTTGCCAAGGGGGAGGTGCCTGCAGGTTTGAGCAACTCTGTACATGATGATGTGAATAGCTGGTTATCACATTTTAATAAGTCTGACTCAAATATGTTCTTCCATGTCGAGCCAGACAGCATGGACGTTGATACAACCCTGGTGGATCCAAACACTGATCTGTACATGGATCTGAGTGTGAACTCTGTGGTAGAGGTCAACATGGGTGCAGGCAATTTATATGGAATCATCCGCTGGATCGGCAATTTGCCTGGTCGACCGGAAATCATGGCTGGACTCGAGCTGGTAAAATTTATTCGGACATGTTACTGTGCAGATTAAAATCTAATTGAAATATCTAATATGTACAGTTATAGGAACAAATCATTTTATATAAAAAGTATAAAACAATACTGTTGGGTCACTTTATAGTAGCTCTGAGCGATTGCACATTTGTTTTGTTAACTTTCATTTAATATTGGATGTATTGGCATTATTTTCCTGTGTATATGTCTCCAGGAGGAAGATAAAGGAGTGAGTGATGGTACCTTCAAAAGTGAGCGTGTCTTCAAATGTCCCCCCAAGAGAGGTCTGTTTGTGAAGCTTGGCTCCTGCCGTCCTGACTCAAGATTTCAGAGCACATCGGCCGATCAAAGCGAGACGATGCTTAAACAGGACGACATGGGTCAGAACAAGAGTGATCTCATTTCTGTTTACTCTTTTTTTTTTTTTTTTCCACAATCCACAAAATGTTCTTTGCTGAAAATTAATTGTTTTTTATAGAGGACAATTTTATTTGAGTGTGCAGTCAGTGCCCCCTTGTGGACATAGTATTGTTTTCAGTCTCACTTAACTGGACAATTTTAATTGGGTTTTAGGTTATATTTATAAAATTTTGGAAAAATATGCCAGCTCAGAAAAACAATTAAAATGATCCTGTTTTTTTTTTTTTTTTTCCATTTTAGAATGTAAAGGGAAAAGAAAGATTATTTGTAAGGAAATGCACTATGTGGCCAAAAGTACGTGAATACCTGCATATTTGCACATTACACCCACGGGTAATAGTTGAACATGTCATTTCAAAAGCAGTGGATGCATGCTGTGTAACGTGTCTTGGTTTTTGTGCGAGTACATACCATAATTCTTTGTGTTACTTTAGAGAGAGAGATAGAGCACAGCACAGGGAAGCTGGAAACTGTTCCTCCAATCAGCACGGAGCAGGTTAAACAGATTTTGATTGGACGAATGAAGGGGATCCAAGGCCACTGCAACTCCTGCTACATGGATGCCGCCCTCTTCAGGTCAGCGACAATAATTTATATACATTTTAACATCTTCAGAGGAAGTTCAGCTGACTTTATCCCATTAATTATACAAATCACACGTACTGTATTTTTTCTGTACTTGACTAGCTAGTTTCAGATCTCTGCAGATTAATGTTTTTTATAGCGTTTAGCTGAAAGGAATCGAAACTGGCTGCTTGCAATGTAAAAAGCCAAATTAGAAACTTACATGCTTACATTTTGTTGTAGAACATATTGTACTGTGGTTGTTTTCCGTGTCATAAGTTTTGTTTCTGTCTGTGCTCTCAGCTTGTTTTCTTGCTCCTCTGTGTTGGACTCCATGCTGTTTAAATCAACTGAACCTCAAGATGCCCCCATTCAGAAAACACTGCTCCATGACATTGTTAATCCCCTCCGCAGGTGTGTGCTTTTATGTATTTTGCAAAACATGTAATTATTTAAATTTTTATTATATATTTAATAATATTTGAATTCATTAATACAAAATATATTTCATGCTCTCTCTATGTTCTTTGCAGTAAGGGCTTTGTGGAAGGGCGGCACATCATGAAGCTCCGGCAGCAGCTGCAGAAACATGGCTACAGTCACTCCTTCACCACAGATGAGAAGGGTCAGTTTAATCTGGAAGTTTTAAAACAGCTGATGTGTTTTTGTTTGGAAGGTTTAAAGTGACTGTTAATGTGGACATTGTCTTTCAGATCCAGAGGAGTTCCTTACTGTCATCATGCACCACATTCTTGCACTGGATCCTCTACTCAAACTGTACAGCTAATTATTATTTCCTTATAAATAGCCTGACTATAATAAAGTTTTGAGCTACATTTATGCTTCACATTTCTCTCCCTCTGCCATTTAGCTCAGCTAGTGGGAAAGTGCAGGAGAGTTACTGCTATCAGATCTTCTTAGACCAGAACCACAGCCTGGTGCTGCCTACAGTCCAGCAGCTGCTGGAGCATTCATTCTACAGTGCAGGACTCAAGCTGGCAGAGGTGAGATCCCATTACACTCTTCATATACTGCAATGCTAATTAATGTTATTTGATGGAACAATTAGCAGTAGTGTTGGCTTCTAACCTGCTATAAGTAGCTGGATAATGTGTACTGGCTGCTACAGGTCACCAAGACACCCTTTTCAGCCAGTGTACTTACCTGTGGCTCCTTCAGCCTTCAGTGCTCATAATTACAAACTGAAACCAATTCTAGAAGAGCTGAATCTGTTGTAGCTTTACAAATAGAGAGGGGAGTCCATGCTTACATCAACTAGGACTTCTGTACAGGCAACCGCTGTAATGTAAGGAAACACAGGATGCTTCAGGAATGTCTCTGGGTTTTTTAAATGCAGCACTTATGTAATTAATGCGTTAATTCGTTACTGGCATAGCTGCAATACATACAATATAATCAGCTCAGTAACACGAGGAATTGCAATTTCTTAACTAAAAAATTTAGTTCAGTTAATCAGCTAATGTTGTCAATTAAGTAGGACATATTCCGATATGGGTTTCTTGTGTTTTTGTCCAACAATAATAGCAGTTCAGGTGATATACTTTCTAGATTGAATAGAGTTGGTGGCTCAGTTCCCAGATCTCCTAAGAGCATGATGTTAAAGGGTCCATGAATATTGTTGTATCAAATTGTTAGTGTGTATGCTACTATATCAACTTAACTTAATTCAATTTTGTTTTCATCTGTTTGGTCAGGAGATCTATTTATCTGAGGCTTTCTTTTTCTTCTTAGAGGTTATCCAGTAGATGGCTCTGTTGGACAGTTTTCTCAGCAGATCCTCTCACCTCCTGGGATGAGCTCATTTTTGCGTATTCTGTCTGCAGTGTGTGATCTTCTTATTTCATTGTCTTATAATTGCAGGTACCATCCTGCCTCATCCTCCAGATGCCTCGCTTTGGGAAGAAATTTAAGATGTTTGACAAGATCATTCCCTCTCTGGAGCTGGACGTCACAGACCTCCTGTCTGAAGGTGAGGACACACACACACACACACACGGACTAACATGATTTAACACAAATGAACACAGTGAATACAACATGTGGTGTGTGTTTCAGGTCCTCAGCAGTGCATGATATGTGGAAACTTGGCACAGGAAGAGTGCAACGACTGTTTCAAAGACACCCTTTTCAGCCAGACGGGATTCAAAATCTTCTGCAAGAAGTGTTCATCTCAGGTGCCGTCTTTAGCTAAATTAAATGCTTGTTGAATATAGAGGTATGGAGTGACATGTGATACAACCGAAATAATCATAATGGCGACCTGTCCAGGGTGTACCCCGCCTTTCGCCCGATGTCAGCTGGGATTGGCTCCAGCCCTCCGCGACCCTGTACGCAGGATAAGCGGTTGACGATGGATGGATGGATCATAATCATAATAAACTTAATTTAAATAGCACCTATTCCTAGGAGCGAGCATAGTGACATCCTGTGCATATCCTTCATTTATAGATTGCGGGGTGTCGTGTGTGTGTGTGTGTGTAGTGCTAAAACCCTGTCAAATAAAGAAAAATAATAAACAACCATTTTGATAATTAAATGTGGTAATTTATTAAATTAAAATGAAGTAAAAATATAAACATTCTAAATTTTATTGAAGCCCTAACTGCATGTGTTTTTTTCCCCCTAGGTACACAATCATCCTCAACGCCGAGACCATAAGCTAGTTGCTCTGGACATCCCTAAGGCTTACTTGGCTTGCGACATAACTCACCCTCTGACCAGAGACAAACTGGAGCTGTTCGCTGTGCTCTGCATTGAAACCAGCCACTACGTGTCCTTCATCAAATACGGACCAAACAGCCAAGACTGGATCTTCTTCGACAGCATGGCAGACAGACAAGGTGAGTGCTCCGTTTCATTGTCTCAGTATATGCACCGTTTATACACATACTCTTTTGCTCAGTTGTGCGTTGTGTTCAGGAGAGCGAGACGGCTACAACATCCCCGAGGTCCGCTCCTGCCCTGAGGTCGGCGACTACCTGGAAATGTCGCCAGTGGAGTTGGCCAATCAGGTGCCTCGAGACATGAAAGGTGTGGCTAAACGTCTCTTTTGTGACGCCTACATGTACCTATATCGGAGCACCAACATGTGTCTGTATCGCTGAGGGGAAAAGACCCCACAGCTTTACTCACTGCACACTATGTCATAAAAAAAGTTGCCCTGCTGTTCATGTAATTTCCTTTGGCTGGATTGGTTTGTTATTCTTTTATGAATGTGTAGAAGTACACACACGAACTAAAAACGTGTGTATACATACATATATGCCTGCCCTATGTCGCTGGTAAAGTGTTATCAGGGTTGAATAACTTATAACAGCATCGGTTTCTATAATATTGTATGAAGAAAAAAAAGGACAACCTGACATTGCTTGCTCAATGATTTTGCACTATAAAAACAAGAAAATGATCATCACTGACATGTGTTGGCAAAAATAAATGACAGGTTGCACTGTAATAATAGGGTTTTGTAGATTACTGTATACTCTTGGTGTTTGATAATTATATTTACAATTTTTATATTTAGAGTTTTGCAGACAAAGACATCTAAAGAAAGACTAATGATTTCAGAGTGGCTTGTTGTAATAAATGCCCCATATACAGTACTTATGTAAATACAATGCTGTTTAATTGCTTAGTAAAACTCACCATTGCATCTTAATGTTTTCTGACCAATAAGGGGTTTAGGATTGTGGCTGGACCAATTACTTTATATTTCGGTAAAATTTGTTCCGATGGAATAGTAAATAATATATTGCTTTTGATATGAAAATTCTTTTTCCATCTATCAGCATCCTAACTTATGTTTGGGATAACAACACTGTTAAGTTGGGAAAATATATACAGTGCAATGAATATAATTTTTAAATAAAGTAATAAAACACATCCCAAATCCTATACACATTACATGTGTTTTTACTGAAAGTATACATTTGAGTAGATGCATAACTGCGTTTAGTGACAGTTCATGTAGGAACGCCACAAAAAAGCAAAAACAAAACTGTCGAGGGATGGCTGAGTGCAGACTTAGGTGTGGACCCAAACGCAGACAACAGGTGAGGAGGTTGTAGTTCCTAAATATTTATTAGCTCAACAACTAAACTGACAAAAGCTTACTTGAGAGCACTCAACATTAGACCGGGACGTCACAAAGACTGAACAGGGCCGCGTTTCAGAAAGCGGGATTAGTGAAAATTTCGAGTATGTTAAGCCTGAGATGAGGGAAACTCTTGAGTTTTCCGTTTCAGAGAGCGAGATCAGATAATTCCTAGATCAGTAACTGATGAAAAAGTAGGAAAACCATCAGTTTCTTTTTAACTCCTCCTCTCCCGCGGAGCCTGAGGCGGCTGCCTCATTCATTCTGTCGATATCAAAGCACATATCTGAACGCATTTACGACTTTAAAAACTTTAAAATCCCAGTTAGTTAGGCTATTAGTTTTTCACCCAACATGATCTTGAACATGACCGCTTTATGATCAATCTGTCATCCATTTATGGACAGATCTCCGCACATTGTGGATTTACCCTCAGCACAGAATAAAATCTATGTCTGTCTTTAACGCTGTGACTCTGTGGACAGTTGCACTAAAGCACTGTGCACTAAATTACTGCAGTAATCACCGTTTATTATGTAACCTATCAAACTGATCAATGAACAGTAATCTTTCATATTGTAGGCTAGTCGCACAGAGTGGAACATTCCTATTGTCGTTATCAACTGGAGATAATGAGACTTTCTGAGTGAGGATAATGCGTGAAGCTGAAACAAATAGGCCTAAATAAGGTTTAAAAGTGAGTTTCTTTATTAGCTGCTGATTGAATGTGGTTTTTTTTTTTATGTGTTTTGACAGTATTAATAAAATACGAAATGAGTAAGATTTTATTAATGTAAAATAGACGTCAAACATTAATCTATAGACACATTTTCCACTGCAAAAAAATAGTTAATAGGCTAACCTGATGAGTATGACTTTACAATCACAGGTCCACGAAGAAACTGTGTCTTGTATTTGATCTATAGGCCTACCTATTTTCATAATTAGGTAGCGATTACTACCGGCATTTAGTCCCGTCAGGTTACAGCTTAATAAATATAGCCTTCCAATTTAAAATCGAATGTAATGGGCTGTAGCACTTTATCATTCATTAAGGAAATTCCAGTCTGGTAAATGATGAATGAGCAACGCTGTGTAGTAGCCTAATAATGTTAAGTCATTGATCCTTCTTCCACTCCTGCGTTTTAGAGCCCATCATAGTCTGCATTGGCACGCATTAAAATGGAGGCTCTGTCTTTATTTACCCGTTGCCAGAGTGAATCGTAGTATCGGTGCTCCATTGATGATGGCATGTGCTTCCGTCAGGCTCAACATACTCAGGGCTGATTGAACTGATTCTGATCAGCTGTTCTGGAACCGAAAATTCAGAATTTCCCACCTCAGGCTCAATCAACTCAGAGCTCAGGGATAAGCTCAGAGTTTGTTAAGCCTGCTTTCTTAAACAGGGAACGAGCAGGACGAGACCAAGACCAGGTGGAGGACGTGAGGTAATTAGACAGAACACAGACACAGGCAAGCAGGTGAAACCAATTGAGGGGAGCAGACAGGACCAGACCAAAATGCAGCAACACAAACTGAACATAAAAAGGCAAACTAAACAACAGAACACAAACCAACACAGACAGAAGACTAAATAATATAAATAAACTACAAGCTAACAAAGAACAGACTAAGATTAAACTAAACAAAACATACAAGTCCAGAATACCAACAAATACAGAAGTACACTGACGTGAGGGCTGTTTCACAAAACCAAGATAGCGGATTAAGCCGGGATTTTCCAGATATCCTGGCTGAATTAAGCGGTGACTCAGTTTCACGAAAGCAGTAACACATAAGTTACCATGGTGATTTATTCTGTGCAGCTAGCCACTGCTCCAGACCAGGCTAATAGCCAGTCTTAGTTAATCCTGGTCCCTTGTCTGTCCAGTCAGCGGTCACGCCGATCAGAGTGGGTTTTTTTTTCCCCCAGTTATTCCATGTTCTTATGCATTTGTTTTGCATATTTTTCATTAGCCTGTATTAAAATAGCAGTTTGTGGTTAAGGTTTCATAATTGGAGAAGACGCGAGCACCATACTTTGCACACACTGAGCATCAGTGAGTAGGTTTACGTGGAATGAAAGCACATGTAAAGAAAAATGATAAATAAAATAAAAGCTAACTCGGGCACAGCCAATAGTGGACCAGCTGAATGTGTGAGAAGCTAAAAATATCACTGCTCTTAACTGAAACTCATTGTCATAATTGTAATGTTATATCGTGCCTTAAAAATGAGCACCGGACATTATGTCACTCAAGAAATTTATGGCACACACACATATATATGCCTAAATAATTTTCATTTGGTTTCATAATTGTATAAAACTCCCAAATGACAGTTCCACTTCAGTAAGGAGACTATATCGTGCACTGTTTATTCATGAAACAACACGGAAAGGACACCCCAATGTTTTTAGACCTTTTTTTTTCTCCCTGGGATCACTCGTCTGCTGGGAGCTTGGGAGAGAAAACAATGATTAATACATCGTGCTACAGTTATGCTACAGTGTGCTTCGCAATGATCACCTCTCTTTGTAGTTGCTGGATTTCCAATTTCCTCAGTGCTTCTTTTTATCTCCATATCTAGGTCCAAGTGCTGTTTTTTATTTTGTAAATTTTTCAAGTGTGTGCAGCAGGAATTGTTCACCTGTGGGTGTCCTTATACTTAAACTACATTGCCAGACTGGCTGTCAGACTGTAGGACTTCAGCCTCAGGGTCTAGTTAAAAATATCATACAGTATTTTCTATGAGCACCACATCACTGACTTAACAAGTACACCATTTTCACACAAAATTGACACACCTCCAGCCTGTCCTATCTACACACACACACCACTATTTATTACTCTATATTTGTTAAAAATGTTGCTTGCAATAAAAAAAAGGTAAATAACCAAAAAGGCTAAGAAAGGTTTATTTGCACAATAAGAAAACATGCTATGTAAATAAAGAAACATGTGCATTGTCCAAAAAAAGTAACTTAAGCTAAAAGAACAAGCTGCTGATTACTGCATTATATTGTTATATTTTGAATTGTCTCCTGCCCGCTGAATTTTGTGTTTCCTTTTTATAAAAATAAAGACATTTCCACCACAAATTGGTGCAGAATATTTCTCCAGAAGTCAGAAAAGTAAGTGTTTAATGTTCAAAAACATCTGGGGGAGGACCCTCAGACTCCCCACTCATGTATCTCAGCATTGAATGTTACTTCAAAGTTGGGTTAAATGGTTAAAAGGTGTATCGTCACACCCCTAATCTGAGCTCTTATGTCCCCACCACTTTGCAACACAAAGTTACTTTTTCATAGTTGTTGTGAATTGCCGCTATATAAATAAAATTTTATTGAATAGATAGTATGTTGATTAGTGGTTGTAATTAATACATTTGCTGAGTGACATTAACATCAACTGCTCACTTTTAAGGTCTGACATAACATTACCATTCATGGTAACATTGTAATTAGCACAGTTTCAGTTAGGAGCAGTGATACTTTTAGCTACTTACTTTTTAAGTCTGTCCTCTATTCTAGGTCACGTTTTTTCTCGCAGTTTTTAATACTGCGGCCATGTTGCTTTTTTTTTAAATATTATGTGCATTTTTTCATCATAAGCCTTTTTTTACACATAGTAACAGCGAATAAAGTAAGCGGCACATGTCTTTAATGGGTTTCAACATCAATGAATCTTTGATCGACAGTGTGGTCTCTTGAAGAAAGCTGTTGATGCCCATTTATCAGAATTACTTACACCTGGCTTGACATAGTCGCACCTTCTGAGCCTGGTTTGGCCTTTGTGAAACTGATAAAGCCAGGAAGCACTGACCACTTTAGGTCAAGCCTAGCTTTATCTCTTTATCCTGGATTTCTAAATTCTGCTTTTGTGAAACAGCCCTCAGGGGCCTGTACCACGAAGCAGGATTTGAGCTTATCCAGGTAACTCTTGTAGGCTAAAGCGACATCATCCTACGGAGACTGATTAAAAGACTTAAGCTATTGTTGCCTACAGGTTTTTACAGTAAGCCTACTTACTGCTTTGAAATGTGTTTAATATTTTGTATTTCTCCCAGTCTGTCGCAGCCGTTAAAATAAATGGGTTTCATATTTCTTATGTGAGGCTGAATAATATGAGCAGTTTGGTAGGGATATTGAAATACTAAATTTGAATATGATGGTAGGCTATTTAGTAGGCCTACTACAGAGACTAGTCATGTTCCGCCCCACCTTTTGCGATGTAGGCAGCAGGTAATGAGGTGAGTTTTCAGTAGCGTAAATGTTGACATTCAGTGTTTCAGCCACTATTTGAGCACATTTTTTGGCATGAATGGATTTTTTGTTTCATTGCTCTATGAAGTAACAATGTTTGGAACACTTGAGTGTGTTAAATAAATTTCTCATTTATGAAGCAACCAGAAGTTTTTTTTTTAAAGTGAGGAAGAACGACCACCTCTTCTGTGCACGAGTCTTTTAATGTGGAAACGCCGACACAGCCGAGCTGAAAGAATAAAGCTGATATTTACATACAACTCATAACACCACGTCAAATCAACACATTGTTAAAGACTGTTCATTTAGGCATTCACTGTCAGCAAGTCTCCGTGCATCTGTCAGCTGCAGCCATGCCACTTACACTAGGCCTAAATTCTGTCTCAGTTCTCCAAGTGCTGGAGGTACTCTGCCTATTGATTATTGAGTAGAACAACATGTAACACTGGGATGGGATCTTTGTGTCAGTGTTATGTTCATTTACATTTTAACCTGAACCAAATGGAATGAAACTCACCTTAAAGGGTTTGCTGAGATGCG